TGGAGCCTCCGGCGACCGGTCTACGGTCTCCGCCAGGCGCCACGTGAGTGGCACGACACACTGAGGACGACACTTGCGGCTCTTGGGTTTGCTCCGTCGACTGCTGACCCGTCGCTGTTTGTGCGCACCGACACTTCTGTGCCGCCGTTCTACGTTCTCGTGTACGTCGACGACTTGGTCTTTGCCACTGCTGACACTGAGGCTCTTGCCCTGGTGAAGTCGGAGCTGCAGAAGAGACACACGTGCACAGACCTGGGTGAACTGCGCAGCTACCTTGGCTTGCAGATCACCCGGGACAGAGCACGCCGCACCATCACACTGACTCAGTCACACATGGTGCAGCAGGTCCTTCAGCGCTTCGGTTTCACCTGGTCCTCAGCACAGGCCACTCCTCTGGCTACAGGTCACTCGCTCTCAGCTCCACCTTCGGACGAGTCCGTAGAGCCGAGTGGTCCTTACCCAGAGTTAGTGGGCTGCCTCATGTACCTGATGACTTGCACTCGTCCTGACCTTGCGTACCCTCTTGGCCTTCTGGCTCGCTACGTGGCTCCTGGTCGGCACCGAAAGGTGCACATGGATGCTGCCAAGAGGGTACTACGCTACTTGTGCAGTACATCGGGCATGGGGCTCGTGCTTGGAGGACGAGGTGAAGTTGTCCTCACAGGTCACTCGGACGCCTCTTGGGTTGACGACCAGGCTACGCAGCGGTCGTCACAGGGTTACACCTTCAGCCTTGGTTCTGGTTCAGTTTCCTGGCGTTCTACACGTTCGTCTTCAGTTCTCGGCTCCAGCTGTGAGGCAGAGATCTACGCCACAGCCATGGCTGCACAGGAGCTGCGCTGGCTCACCTACCTGCTGACCGACTTGGGAGAGAGGCCTCGTTCTCCTCCAGTTCTGTACGTCGACAACAAGGCCGCCATTGCCTTGTGTCAGGAGCACAGACTGGAGCACAGAACAAAGCACATCGCTCTCCGTTACTTTCTTGCTCGAGAGCTGCAGCAGCGTGGCCAGCTTCGTCTTACCTACGTGGCCACTCGGGCCAACACTGCTGATATATTCACCAAGGCGCTTCCGCCTGGTGATCATCAGCGTTTTTGCACTTTGTTAGGCCTTGTGCCCACTCTTCCTCACTTGCTGTAGGCTTTGTTTGTACCATGATTTATATGTATTCCTGCATGCTTGTTCTTGTAGGTAGATATCACTGTACTGTTGTTGTTACATGCGTTTTTGCACTTTGTTAGGCCTTGTGCCCACTCTTCCTCACTTGCTGTAGGCTTTGTTTGTACCATGATTTATATGTATTCCTGCATGCTTGTTCTTGTAGGTAGATATCACCCCTGACGGACGGAGGACAGACAGACGCAGACTCAGCAACAAGACTGGCGGCGTAGTCTAGACAACAGTGAGCAGCAAAGGCAACAAGCTCAGTGACTAAGGCAGACGCAGCAGCAGACTCAAACGAAGGGTCAGTGATAACAGTGGCAAGCAGACGCGTGACAGTAGAGTGCTCAGCACGAAACCGGTCAGACGCAGGGTCAGCAACGACAGGCAGAGAGGACGCAGGGGGAGGCGGCAGAGGAACACGCGGTGAAGGAGAGGAAGGACGACGAACTACAAGGGGAGGGCCGGAGACAGCCGGCTGACTCTGAAGAGGAACACGACGACCGGAACTGACAGGGGAGACAGGACGCGACACAGGCTCACGACGCTCTGCAAGGCCACCAGGCTGCTCTGTGTATGGAGAAGGAGCAGGCAGCGGGGAGCCAGGCTCTAACGGAAGACCTGTAGACGAGGAAAGACTGAGAACCTGGCGAAGTGCAGAGTCAGGTGGTGGCTGAGACGACGGAGACGGCGGAGCAAAGAACAGGCGCTGCTGAGCAGTGCCACCAGCACGAGCAGCACCAGCCCTACCAGCAGCTCCAGCACCTCCAGCAGCTCGAGTACCCCCAGCAGCTCCAGCACCCCCAGCGGCTCCAGCAACTCCAGCAGCTCCAGCACCTCTAGCAGCACCAGTACCTCCAGCAGCACCACCACCAGCCCCAGCAGCTCCAGTACTCCCAGTACGAGCACCTCTGGGACCAGCGACACCAGCAGAAGAACCTCCAGCAGGAGAGCCCTGAGGTGCAGAAGTGGGACGCCGACGGCGACCGTACCAGTCGTGCAGCTGCTGGGAGGTGAGGGGCACACGCGGACGAAGACGGCTACTCCAAGGAGACCGCGTAACAGCAGTCATGCAGGCGGCAGGCAGGCGGCAGGCAGGCGGCAGCAGGCAGGTGCCAGGCAGGTGGCAGGCAGGCAGGCGGCAGTCAGGCAGGTGGCAGGCAGGCGGCAGCAGGCAGCAAGCAGGCAGGCAGCAGCAGGCAGCAAGTAGTAGGCAGGCAGCAGGCAGTAAGTAGCAGGCAGGCAGCAGGCAGGCAGCAGGCAGGCGGCAGGCAGGCGGCAGCAGGCAGCAAGCAGCAGGCAGGCAGCAGGCAGGCAGCAGGCAGGCTGCAGGCAGGCGGCAGCAAGCAGGCAGGCAGGCAGGCGGCAGGCAGGCGGCAGCAGGCAGGCTGCAGGCAGGCGGCAGCAGGCAGCAAGCAGGCAGGGAGGCAGGCGGCAGGCAGGCGGCAGCAGGCAGCAAGTAGCAGGCAGGCAGCAGGCAGTAAGTAGCAGGCAGGCAGCAGGCAGGCAGCAGGCAGGCGGCAGGCAGGCGGCAGCAGGCAGCAAGCAGCAGGCAGGCAGCAGGCAGGCAGCAGGCAGGCTGCAGGCAGGGGGCAGCAGGCAGCAAGCAGGCAGGCAGGCAGGAGGCAGGCTGCAGGCAGGCGGCAGCAGGCAGCAAGCAGGCAGGCAGGCAGGCGGCAGCAGGCAGCAAGCAGGCAGGCGGCAGCAGGCAGCAAGCAGCAGGCAGGCAGCAGGCAGGCAGCAGGCAGGAGGGCTGCGTGAGGCTGCTGGCTGCGTGTGGCGGCTTGCTGCACGAGGCTGCAGGCTAAGCGTGGCTACGAGCAGCGCGCGCGGCCGCAGGCTGCGTGCGGCGACGGAATGCGCGGGCTGCGGGCTGCTTGCAGCTGCGGGCTGCGCGTGGCGACAGGAAGCGTGCGCGGCTGCAAGCTGCGTGCGGCTGCGGGCTGCTCTGGGCGACGGGCCGCACGTGCGCGGCTGCGGGCTGGTCGCTAAGCTGCGGGCTGTGCTAGGCGACGGGCCGCGCTAGCGTGGCCTAACCAGGTTGCGCGCGGGCGGCTTAAGGGGCGCACAGGTGGGGCCGAAACGGGCTGCGCGGGCTGCTAAGACGGCGCACGTGGGAAAAAAAATAAAGGACCGCCCGAGGCGCGCGCGGGCAGCCGAGGCGCGCGTAGGCACTAGACAAGGCAGGCAAGCGTGGTGGGCCCTAATCCTAGGTCCTAAGGACCTATGCTCTATACCATGTTAGAATCATAGGCAAAAAGTGATGTCGACTATCGAGAGGGTTGGTACAAAGAATGAACCTAAGGGGTTGTACCCCACAGTGTGTACCCCACTAAGCCTACCCAAACTATAACATAGATATACATATGTTTGACAGAGTCTGTATGTATGTATGTACGTATGTATGTGTGTATTTACGTGTATATGTATGGGTAAATTTATACATTGCAATAACAATGCATGTCTGTGATTTTTAACAAAAAGGCTCAGGCCTATCATTTCACAAAAGGTTCATTGGCGCACTCAGTGACTCATGTGCGACCACTTCGAACTGGATTTGATAGGGTTGACCTTTTTTTTAGACTTCACAGATTGTGTTGTTTCATGTGACAGTTGATTATTCAAAATCTTTGCTATTGACCTCCCCCCCATGCTAGGCAATGGATGGCGGTAGCTTAGTTTTTGGGTCGTTAACTGTTATGCATTTTATTATGTGCATGCATGTGCATCATGATTCATGGCATTATATTAAATATTATGCATCCTATAGCATTATTTATGCATCATGCATCTATTTATCATTACCACAATATCATTTAACAGTAAAACATAATAATACAAACAGTACAGCATATCTGCACAAAACCACTGACAAAGAAAGATCACATGGTTTAATATACTGTGAGCAGTATTCAAAACTACTCAACAGTTTGGGAAGGGTACTGTAGTTTACGAAATTTATTTTCATATTTTATTAAAAAAAATATGATTTTTTTTTTATGAAAATAAAAATTGGCAAAATCGATCGTAAAGGGTTGCTTCGCAACCCAAGAACACTAATTAGCTGTAGAGGTTCAAACAAACTTTACAATGATCAAGCAAGAATTGCGCCAGCTACCTTTCAACCGACACCCTCAATTTCTACTATCTGCGCCAAAGCAACTGAAGAATAATATATCGTAATGTTAAAAAGAGCTGTTTTTGCGACGAAATTGAAACTCTTTTAGGGTATGTGTTTCTCTTTTTCCTTCCTCCTTTCCTCTCGCTAGTGGAGCTAGGTTGATACCCGCCAGCAAGCCATGCTTTACCTACCACTCCAAGGTGAGAAGGATCCTAAGCCATTATCTAGAACTAACTTAGACTAATATAAGCTAGACTAGGTTTTTGTAATCTCGTATCTTAGTCGTGTATGTCAAAATCCCAACCACTAGACCATTGGGATAAAATGGCTTGTTAAGTAGCGGGTCAGTGCGCCCATAACCCCCCAGGACAACGAGCCTGTAACCCTTCCCTAGGATCAATCGGGGATCACCAGTGGACCTCTGACACCCCCCCGCACTGGGATGCCCGGAGTGCACACACTGGGATTCGAACCCGAGACCGCTCTGATACCATGTCAGAATCCCAACCACTAGACCATTGGGATAAAAGGGCTTGTTAAGTAGCGGGTCAGTGCGCCCATAACCCCCCAGGACAACAAGCCTGTAACCCTTCCCTAGGATCAATCGGGGATCATCAGTGGACCTCTGACAGTGTACTTCTATGTTGGTCGTTCTGGAGGTGAGCATGTTGTTTAAGCTTAGATTCTAGTCCCTTCGTAAAGACAGTAGCTTTCCCTTATGTTTTTTAGGTCGTTCATAGTCCCGCATCCGTTTTTTCCTGTTCTCATCCAGTTCCTACTAAGGTAAGAACAACCCTAATCTATCAAGTAGGATTAAGTTACACTAGCTAGACTAGCATGTCTTAATCTCGTATAGTCGTTTGCTCATGTGTTGGCCGCGTTTACAAGTGTTAGAATACTAGCTAGACTTAGGAGCCATGGCTAGTGAGTGTCGAGAGAATTGAGTGTCGAGAAAATTGGGAAGGAGAATGAGGAAGAGAATGGTTTCACTATAGGAAGTTGGGATACAAATAGCAAACCCTAAATTGGGTTGTACTCACTACAGAGTACCCCACTACAGGCTAAACAGCAAATACATTCTAACACACCCCCATGGTCAAAGTGGGGTATAATCAGCAGAGTAAACAGTCATAGAGCAGGTTCACAAGTACAAGCAAAGCTAGAGGCATTCACAAAGGGCAAGTGAGGAGGAGGAGGCTGGACTGTGAGAGGAGAGGAGATAGGAGGCGACGGCTGATGCTGCAGACACACGGGCAACAGGAGCGGCGCGCACTGTGGCTACCGGGTCCGTATCCCCGGACTACAGGAGTAACTGGCTCTGCGGCTAACTCTGAGCGGCAGGAGCAACGGACCCACAGGCGACAGGCGCAGCAGGCTCTCTGAGCTACCAGAAGCAGAGCCCCGGACTACAGGTGCTGCGGACGACAAGACGGCAGCCTCCGCTCAACCTCCCCCAACTGTCCCACCCCCCTTTCACACACCCCTTGCTGCACCCCTAGCTCCACTCCCACGTCACCCCCCTAGCACCAATCCCTCGGCTCCCACACACCCACCCCCCTCAGCGGCAGCTGCAGCAGTGGGAGACGAAGGTGGAGGAGGAGGAGGGGAGGGGGGGGGGGCGGGGGGGGGGGGGGGGGGTTGTGCATGGCGCGTGCAGAGGGCAGCAGGGCGCGCGAGGCGCACAGGGCTGCAGGGCGCGCGGGGCGCACAGGGCAGCAGGGCAGCAGGGCGCACAGGGCTGCAGGGCAGCAGGGCGCGCGGGGCAAACAGAGCAGCAGGGCTCACAGGGCTGCAGGGCAGCAGGGCGCACAGGGCTGCAGGGCAGCAGGGCGCGCGGGGCGCGTAGGGCTGCAGTGCGCGCAGGGCGCGCAGGGCAGCAGGACAGCAGGGCGCGCGGGGCGCACAGGGCTGCAGGGCGCGCGGGGCACACAGGGCAGCAGGGCAGGAGGGCGCACAGGGCTGCAGGGCAGCAGGGCGCGCGGGGCAAACAGGGCAGCAGGGCGTACAGGGCTGCAGGGCAGCAGGGCACACAGAGCTGCAGGGCAGCAGGGCGCGCGGGGCGCGCAGGGCTGCAGTGCGCGCAGGGCGCGCAGGGCAGCAGGACAGCAGGGCGCGCGGGGCGCACAGGGCTGCAGGGCGCACGGGGCGCACAGGGCAGCAGGGCAGCAGGGCGCACAGGGCTGCAGGGCAGCAGGGCGCGCGGGGCAAACAGGGCAGCAGGGCGCACAGGGCTGCAGGGCAGCAGGGCGCACAGGGCTGCAGGGCAGCAGGGCGCGCGGGGCGCGCATGGCTGCAGTGCGCGCAGGGCGCGCAGGGCAGCAGGACAGCAGGGCGCGCGGGGCGCACAGGGCTGCAGGGCGCGCGGGGCGCACAGGGCAGCAGGGCAGGAGGGCGCACAGGGCTGCAGGGAAGCAGGGCGCGCGGGGCAAACAGGGCAGCAGGGCGCACGGGGCTGCAGGGCAGCAGGGCAGCAGGGCGCACAGGGCTGCAGGGCAGCAGGGCACGCGGGGCGCGCAGGGCAGCAGGACAGCAGGGCGCGCGGGGCGCACAGGGCTGCAGGGCGCGCGGGGCGCACAGGGCAGCAGGGCAGCAGGGCGCACAGGGCTGCAGGGCAGCAGGGCGCGCGGGGCAAACAGGGCAGCAGGGCGCACAGGGCTGCAGGGCAGCAGGGCGCACAGGGCTGCAGGGCAGCAGGGCGCGCGGGGCGCGCAGGGCTGCAGTGCGCGCAGGGCGCGCAGGGCAGCAGGACAGCAGGGCGCGCAGAGCGCGCAGGGCTGCAGGACGCGCAGGGCGCACAGGGCAGCAGGGCGCGCGGGGCGCAGCAGGGCTGCAGGGCGCGCGGGGCGCGCAGGGCAGCAGCAAGGGCTGTAGCGGCAGCAGCAGGGCGCACAGGGCTGCAGGGCAGCAGGGCGCGCGGGGTGCGCAGGGCTGCAGGGCGCGCATGGCGCGCAGGGCAGCAGGACAGCAGGGCGCGAGGGGCAAACAGGGCAGCAGGGCGCACAGGGCTGCAGGGCAGCAGGGCGCGCGGGGCGCGCAGGGCTGCAGTGCGCGCAGGGCGCGCAGGGCAGCAGGACAGCAGGGCGCGCAGGGCGCGCAGGGCTGCAGGGCAGCACAGGGCTGCAGATCCCCTCCCCCCCACCGCTGCACCCGCAGCAGGGGGAAGGAGGAGAAGTGGGGGGGGGGGGGGTGCTGATGCTGCAACTCCCCTCCCCCCCACTGCTGCTGCAGATCCCCTCCCTCCCACTGCTGCACCCGCAGCAGGGGTGGAGGAGAAAGGTGGGGGGGGCGGGGGGGGGCTGGTGCTGCAGGTCCCCTCCCCCCACTGCCGCATCCGCAGCAGGGGGAGATAGGAGAAGGGGGGGGGGGCTGGTGCTGCAGATCCCCTCCCCCCACACTGCTGCACCCGCAGTAGGGGGGGAGGTAGGAGAAGGGGCGGTGCAGGAGCCGCTCGGGCGACAGCAGGTTGGCCACACCCGCCACCCCCATACCCTCCCCCCCACTGCTGCAGCTGAGGCACATCCGCCACCCCCTCACACCCTCTCCCCGCCATCCCCATGGAGGGGGGGGAGAGGGGGGAGGGGGGCAGGGGCGGAGCTGCGCGTGCGACTGTAGGGCACGCGGGCAGGAGGTACCCCCTCTTGCCACCCCCTCACCCACCATGTTGCAACAGGGCACCGGGGCCGCGGGTAGGGGCGGCAGATCGCGAGGGGCCATGGCCAGGGGCGACGGGGCCATGGCTAGGGGCGACGGGGCCATGGCTAGGGACGAGGCCGGGCGCTGGGGAGGGACTGGGCCGGGCGCTGGGCAGGTACGGGGCCGGGCGCTGGGCAGGTACGGGGCTGGGCGCTGGGCAGGTACGGGGCCGGGCGCTGGGCAGGTACAGGGCCGGGCGCTGGGCAGGTACGGGGCCGGGCGCTGGGCAGGTACGGGGCCAGGCGCTGGGCAGGTACGGGGCCGGGCGCTGGGCAGGTACGGGGCCGGGCGCTGGGCAGGTACGGGGCCGGGCGCTGGGCAGGTACGGGGCCGGGCGCTGGGCAGGTACGGGGCCGGGCGTTGGGCAGGTACGGGGCCGGGCGCTGGGCGCGGAATGGGGCCGGGCGCGGGGCTAGGTATGGGGCCAGGCGCGGGCTAGGTACTGGGCCGAGCGCGGGCAAGAGACGGGGCCGGGCGCTGGGCGAAGGACGGGGCCAGGCGCGGGCGAGGTACGGGCTGGGCGCGGGGCTAGGAAAGGGGCTGAGCGCGGGCTAGGTACGGGCCGAACGCGGGCTAAGTACGGGCCGGGCGCGAGGCTAGGTACGGGTTAGGCGCGGGGCTAGGAAAGGGGCCGAGCGCGGGCTAGGTACGGGCCGATCGCGGGCTAAGTACGGGCCGGGCGCGAGGCTAGGTATGGGCCAGGCGCGGGCGAGGTACGGGCCGGGCGCGGGGCTAGGAACGTGCCGAGCGCGGGCTAAGTACGGGCCGGGCGCGGGGCGACGGAGTCGACGGGGCCAAGGGGCCGAGGCGACGGGGCCAAGGGGCGGAGCCTAGGGGCTAGGGGCGACGCCAAGGGGCGACGGGCCGGGGCCTAGGCTAGCAGGGCAGTAGGTGGTGGGCCCATTAACATTAGGTCCTAGGAAAGTTATGCTCTTAATACCATGTTAGAATACTAGCTAGACTTAGGAGCCATGGCTAGTGAGTGTCGAGAGAATTGAGTGTCGATAAAATTGGGAAGGAGAATGAGGAAGAGAATGGTTTCACTATAGGAAGTTGGGATACAAATAGCAAACCCTAAATTGGGTTGTACTCACTACAGAGTACCCCCCTGCAGGCTAAACAGCAAATACATTCTGACAACAAGGTGCCATTTGATTAAGCTTAGGTTCTAGGCTTGCCTCTTTCTCTTTCACTTTCAATCGTTCTTTCTTACTCCTCCATGCTTGAGTCTCCAGTTCCCTTTAAACAGAACCAGATGTGAGTCAGCAATTAGACTATCCAGGAGACATGTGTCTCTAGTATGATCTTGATTAACTGCAGTTACGGTTCATCGTTTCTTTCATACGGTAGTAAATCGTAATTATATGTTTTCTTTCATCATGTTTTGCTCTTCCTCAGTTTATCTATCCAACGTCTCTCACTCTCTTCACCATCTCTCTCGTTCCTTTCTATATATTTATTCACAATAATTCGCACACATACACTTCCCTATTTGTACATCGAAATGTCAGAATCCCAACCACTAGACCATTGGGATAAAAGGGCTTGTTAAGTAGCGGGTCAGTGCGCCCATAACCCCCCAGGACAACGAGCATGTAACCCTTCCCTAGGATCAATCGGGGATCACCATGTCAGAGGTCCACTGGTGATCCCCGATTGATCCTAGGGAAGGGTTACAGGCTCGTTGTCCTGGGGGGTTATGGGCGCACTGACCCGCTACTTAACAAGCCCTTTTATCCCAATGGTCTAGTGGTTGGGATTCTGACATGGTATCAGAGGGAAGGTCTCGGGTTCGAATCCCAGTGTGTGCACTTCGGGCATCCCAGTGCGGGGGGGTGTCAGAGGTCCACTGGTGATCCCCGATTGATCCTAGGGAAGGGTTACAGGCTCGTTGTCCTGGGGGGTTATGGGCGCACTGACCCGCTACTTAACAAGCCCTTTTATCCCAATGGTCTAGTGGTTGGGATTCTGACACACCAATGGACCTCTGACACCCCCCCGCACTGGGATGCCCGAAGTGCACACACTGGGATTCGAACCCGAGACCGCTCTGATACCATGTCAGAATCCCAACCACTAGACCATTAGGATAAAAGGGCTTGTTAAGTAGCGGGTCAGTGCGCCCATAACCCCCCAGGACAACGAGCCTGTAACCCTTCCCTAGGATAAATCGGGGATCACCAGTGGACCTCTGACACGAAATTCTGTTGATTAGCGCATTGTTCTCTAACTCATATTGTTGGCATGCTTTTTTCTTCTTCTTTCCTTCATGTCGTCTCTTTTCGCCTTCTATCTAGCTTTCTCTTTCTTCCAATCAGTTCCCCTCCTTTTCTCCTACAATTCGTTTTATTTTTCCCTCTTTGCTTCCGCGTGCTTACTATTTCACATCTCCGCCCTTAAGTTCTCTGTCCTAGTAATAATATATGCTTCTAATATTTCTTCATGATTCTTATTTTCTTCATCCTTCATTTCCTCTGTTCGCATCGGTTATTTTGTATCCTAATGTTTGTTTTCCGACCTCTTACCTATGTTTCTCCTTTAATTGTCTATGTGTAACGCATCGTTGTGTTTGTTAGTTTCTTGACTTGTATATTTTATTAGTACATCGTTCATTTGTTTTTCGTGACTTCACTGCATTCCTTCCGTTCTTCCTTATCCATTCATTTCTCACCTCCTTTTCCTTCTGACCTTTATTCATTTTTCCATTCCTTCGTTATTCTTTCATGCAGTCCTTCCCTCTTGCTCCATTCATCGCATGCTTTATCTTCCAGCCTTCTTTCTGCCATTTCCTCTAATTCTCTTCTTTTCCTTCATTCATTCATTCCTTCCTTATTTCCTTCCCTCCTACCTTCCATTTTTACTTCCCTCCTTCATTCCTTCTGTTTCCTGCTTCAGTTTCCTGCTTCCGTTTTCTGTTTTCGTATTATGCTTCTATTTTCTGCTATGTTTGATGTGCACTTTGACGTGTTTGAGAGACTAACATGTAAGAAGCCGCACATGACACGATATTAAAATTCTTACATCAGAGTAATGAGACCGCAATTGCTGCTTATGTTTTTTGCTTTTGTTTGCTGTTTCTGTTTTTTTTTTCTTCAAAATTCAGTTTATTTTATTAGTAATGGTTTTGCTTCTTGTTGACGTCTACTTTGTCATACTTGTTTCGCATCCACTCTTGTTTTCTCTGCTTCTTCCTTTCGGTCCAGTTTCTTTCACCGTATTCGCTCTTCATCCCTTCTACTCGTTCCTTCCTTCGTTTTGTGATGCTTGTTTTCTTTCTTCACCAGGTCGCACGTACGCAGTTGATTGTGTTGTTTCATGTGACAGTTGATTATTCAAAATCTTTGCTATTGACCTCCCCCCCATGCTAGGAAGGGGATGGCGGTAGCTTAGTTTTTGGGTCGTTAACTGTTACGCATTTTATTATGTGCATGCATGTGCATCATGATTCATGGCATTATATTAAATATTATACATCCTATAGCATTATTTATGCATGATGCATCTATTTATCATTACCACAACATCATTTAATAGTAAAACATAATAATACAAACATTACAGCATATCTTCACAAAACCACTGACAAAGAAAGATCACATAGTTTAATATACTGTGAACAGTATTCAAAACTACTCAACAGTTTGGGAAGGGTACTGTAGTTTACGAAATTTATTTTCATATTTTATAAAAAACAAATATGAAAATAAATATGAAAATAAAATTTGGCAAAATCGATCGCAAAGGGTTGCTTCACAACCCAAAAAAAATGCTGATTTCTCGGGAATCTCGCAACATAGCAACACTACACGAGAACACACTCCATTTCTTTGCGACAGATGTCACATGGCTGGAATGCGGTAATTCAAGAATTGTGCGATTTGTGCGGTGGATACAAGTGTGGGGTCACACGCGCACGGAGGCGTGTCATGGGAGAGATTCAGGCAATCCGCGCACACCTGATTTCCGAGTTGTGATGCCTTGGTATCTATGGGAGGTGGGATGGGGAGGTGCAGCGGACCTGTCATCAAATCTGTGCGACAAACGGTTACACGATTTCAACGTCCCAACTGTGGCGATCAATATTCTTCGAGGTAACCACCGTGCCTTCTCCGCGAACGTTGTTTTTAGCGATAAGGGCGCTTGTCTTTTGGTGTAGAGGTTAAAAAATTAGGTCGAACTTTTGCTGGTAACCCGCTTCGCCAAATTCGTTTAGAGCTCTTCGCGAGACTCCTGTGTCCTATCTTTAACTTTGGCAATGAAGTGGGACACTAAAATTGGGGGTCGAACTCACGTACGAATTTCAGTTTTCACGATAGCTCAATCGTGTGTCTTGATGGGCATGAATCCTGAAAATGCGAAACTCTGTAGTGAGTACAACCCAATGTCAAACATTAATCACATAGCCTGTTTAGGCTGTAGTGGGGTAGACACTATGGGGTACAGTTTGTTAGGGTTTCCTATTTGTACCCAACTCATTTCCTAGTCATTCATTCCTCAATTCTTTCACATGGTATAGAGCTAGTTCGATTTTTTTTTTCCTAAGGGCCCACCACTCAAATTTTTTTTTTTTTTCCTACCTGCCCGACGCGCGCGTCGCGCCTGCCCTTCGAGGCCCCTTCGCGGCCCGTAGTGCCCCCCCTTTCACGGCCCGTAGAGGCCCCTTTGCGGCCCGTAGCGGCCCCTTCGCAGCCCGTAGTGCCCCCCCCCCTTTCACGGCCCGTAGAGGCCCCGTAACGGCCCGTAGCGGCCCCTGCGCCTGCCCTTAGAGCCAGCGCCGGCGCCCAAAGCCGCCGCGTCGCGGCCCGGCCCGGCACCCCGGTGCCCCGTCGTCCCGGCCCGGCCCTCCACGGCCCCCGTCGCGCCCCCCCCCCCCCCCCCCCCCCCCCCCCCCCCCCCCCCCCCCGTTGCGGCCCCCTGTCGCGGCCCCCCGTCGCGGGCCCCTTGTCTCGGCCCTGCCCTGTCACCCGGCGCCGCCCCTGTCCCGGACCTGTCGCGGCCCTGCCCCGACCCTGTCGCGGCCCTGTCGCGGCCCTGCTGCGACCCAGCCGCGGCCCTGTTCCGACCCTGCCCCGGCCCTCCCCCGGCCCTGTCGCAGCCCTGCCCCGACCTGTCGGGGCCCTGCGCCGGCCCTGTTGCGGCCCTGTCGCAGCTCTGCCCCGGCCCTGCCCCGGCCCTGTTGCAGCCCTGCCCCGGCCCTCGCCCCGGCCCTGTCCCGGCCCTGCCCCGGCCCTGCCCCGACTCTGCCCCGGCCCTGCTCCTGCACTGCCGCGGCCCGGCCCCGGCCCTGCCCCGGACCTGTCACAACCCTGCCCCGACCCTCCCCCGGCCCTGCCCCGGCCTAGCCCTTGGTAAGAGCATCGCCGGGCCGAGTCGCGCTGCCGAGCCGCACCGCTCTGCCGAGCCGCCCTGCCGAGCCGCCCTGCCGAGCCGCGCTGCCCA